GTTTGCATAACGATGTTGTGATAACGTTCAATCAACATTGAATTTCTCATATTGGCTATAAACTGTAACCTCATAAAAGTTAAATTTGAGATAATTGTATTTGGTTGAAAATGAGTAAAGATTTTGTTACAACACTGTTGAAATAAAGAATTGAAAAAAACGTTGTTTATAGCTTATACATAAAAAATACCGAAACTAAATGTTTTAATTGTTGTCGAAATTGTTATAATTGAAGAGTTAGTACAAGTTTAGGATTTATGGAACAATAAATTAATGATTAAAACAAGTGCGAATAAAATTCTTGCGGTTAGATTCAGTTATTCGTAACTTTGTTAAATATTCACAATGAAATAATTGACATTGAAACGAAACAGTTGGGCAGGAGTCGTCAAGGATTGTCTTAGAATCCGTCTATCGTAGTTATTCTTAGAAACGACGAAGATGGTCAACAATCTCAGTGGTGCATCAGGCGTACGGGTGGTCTATCGAAAAGGTAATCAGAGAATAACTGGGATTTCAACCCATCAAACTGCACTCGACGCATGTACTAATTAATACGAAACCCTCCGCGGGGTTTCGTCAGAACATCTTACTCGCTTCACCAAGTTCTTAATATGCAAAATTCTCGGATTCTTGCTTCTTGGAATAGAGACGCATCTAAAAAAGATCACTGCATTGCCAAAATAGGGAATTCTAAGACAGATCATCTAGGATGGGTTATGGCATTTTCCTGTCCCCATGGATTAACATCGAAGGTTATGTTAATGATTATGTAGACACGACATTATAAATACTATTGTGGATTTCATGCACTTTGGAAACATTAAATTTATAAAGAGATGAGCCTTAGAGAAAAACTTACTGAAATTAAAATTATTTTAGTGTGGTGAAGTTTTGGTGAATGTAGCAGTTTTCAGTTTTTTCATGCTAAATGATGAAACTGATAAGAACGAAGATTATTGGTTTGAAACGAATTTAATATGCAGGTATGAGTATCCAACTCATGGTCCGCCGTCGTTCGAGGAAACCATTGTTAACAAAAGGAATGATATTAGAACCGATTACAAACCTTATTTAATTGGTAAACAATTTGAATCTAGACCACCATAGGAAACATGTTGTTTAATTTATTTGTTAAATGCAATTTAATTAGGTTGATGTTAATGACATTGATATTTAAAAAAACCTTGATTTATATTTATTATTATTAAGAAATCCATAATGATTAGCAACCAGCACTAGAACATTAGCTCATCTTACAGAATGGCCACATAACTATAATAAACTATAATGTTAGCTTTGAATTATCACTGCCCGACAATTTCACATAATTTTTGTTAGCTGTCGAATAATTACCGAAAAAAATGTATGGCAGGGTTTAACCAACACATGAACTTTAATCTAATTTCGAATTGTAATTTGACCTTTTTAATGAAAATTTCAAATATTGAAACAGAACTTGTAATTTTCTGTAATAACGGTAGATTTTGGGATTGTTACGGAATATGAACAGAAGTCTGTCAACCGGGCAAATAAGAGTGTCGTGACGAGTCATGATTGTCTTAATTGGGGGATGCAGACCGTAAACTTTTACGAGTGATACGTTTTAGTGAACACTCCCTGGAAACCAAAGTTATGGTTATGAATTAACTAAAGTTACAATTTCTCATCTTGCAATACAGCAAACAATTTGACGATTTTTCACATCCTAGTAACCAATAATAAATCGAACCACCACCTACATGAGAATATAAGTTGCTTTTTGAGGAAGGCAGAAAAATATACGAATGAAAAATTTTAAGAAAAAAATTAGATAGTCAGGTATTAACTATTAACTATTAACTATTAACTATTAAATGAACTGCCGATAGGAAATGAACAAATTTTCTCCGTTAAAGAGTTTACAGATTGTCGTACAAATGAGAAAAGTATTATGTAGGCTAAACCGGACGGAACTTCCAATATCGAGTAAAAGAACACGAAACGGATATCAGACTGGAAATAACGAGTAGTAGTTGTCGTAAATGATTGCTGTATTGCCCTACTCTACATCAGATGCAGTTAGCAAATAAAAATTAGTTCATTATTTAGTTGATAGTAACCTAAGAATATATTGCTAGTTATACAAAGAATTTATCACTATAAATCATTACATTGTAATTGAGAAAATTAAATAAAATATTTGTGATATAAAAGAATGTCTAAGGTTGTTAGACTATTAGTGCTATATAAAAATGCAAAAAAAAGATTGTAAGTCACTATAGTTAATTCATGTTAAAAAAATATCATACATCATGGAAAATTGCACATGTAATTCCTTATAAAATCTGAGATTCGAAATCTATGTCCCTACTTTTTATTGTGTTATGTTGTACTACTGTCAAATATCTTGGAAATATTCATCAATTTAGGTATTGCTTAGTACAAAATTACTACTTATTTAAGATATTAAGTGATGTTCTAATACCTGTGTCAAATAACATACATTCTGTGACACAACATTATTCAATTTTTCTGCCAGTGCAAGACTTAAATACACTTAAATAATTAGTTGACAGGAATTTAAAGTTTAAGTCTCATATAGGCAGTTCCGAGTACTCTTACTATTATTCCTACTCTCGATAATATTTCAAAATTATAAAAATAGGAATACAAAAGGTTAGCTAAGGTTAAGTAAAGAAAATTTTTAACTACCTGTATAAAAGAAAAATGTGTTTGAATAAACGCTGGTTGCTAACAATTAAAATTAATAAAACAATGACGATTGTTTTGAAAGGAAATAATTTTTTTTTAAACGTTTAATTATCTTATATAGATCTTTAAATCTTGAACATAATTGTAACTTTATTTCTTAAAGTTTCCCCAAGGCCTAGTTTAGTTCAAATAATCGGCATGAAGAAAATATAATTGTTAGATGCACGATGGAGATTGAAATTTGTTATAAATTTGAAACATAAGTGATTACCTATAAAGACATATTAGTAAAGACGATGAACGTTCACAAGTGTAGCAGAAGAACAAATCTAACCTCTAAAAGTATTATAGGAATACAAAATTACTTATTGTTATTAGTTAATTAGTAGAATAATTCACTTTCTAAGAGTTCTATAGAATCTTTGTATAAAAATCTTTCTAAAATAAAGTCGAAAATTTATTTAGAAAATGAAGTTTGTTCTTCAGAAAGCATGCATTTAATATTTTCAATAGTAGAGTAGATTACTAATTTGAATACTTTATTTCGGTAGATGAGAGCTTTTGAGAATAGATTGATTACGAAACTATGCTAAAAATTAATCATTCCCAACTATTTTTGTAATTCTTTTTTGAGCGTTTATAAAAATCAGAAATAGATTGTACTTTTGAATTCAGAGGTTGACTTCTTTCTGGAAAAAATGTTATGTCTCTATGTTTACACCAAAGTTCTTTTGCGATAGATGTTCTAGAAATTTCGAGACTTTATATATATTTTTATAGAAATAATCTGATTCTTCAGCAATGTATCTTCTTTGACGTGCTCTTTGGTGCATTTCGTATATAGATTAGTGGATGGAGCATGGCAAATAGAACAAGACAATGTACTCAATAAATTTTCGCATTGCTTCCCATTCAACGATACATCTACATTAGATTTTGATATTGACTAACACTTATATAGCGTTATTTATAATTATTTGTTAGATATTTTTGTCTCTAAAAACTGTTTTGAATTAATTTTTCTGTTCTTTCGAGGAATGTTTTATGTTTTGCTGCTTTTGCACCGAAGGTCTTGATAAAATAATTGCAAGAAAAGTCAAGCTTTTAATCTTCAGGCTAAATTAAAGCACCCGGTGACTAGTTTTGTGTAGAAAGAAACCTTATATCGGTGATAATTGAAATAGTTGACGATAAAATTTGAAATAAGATTTACAAAAATAGTGACCAAAGTACCGTAAAAAACTTTCAACAATTTAACACACTCTATGGCACGAAAGTGTCGCAATTCTTTTAATAACAAAGGAGGAATTCATGCATTTTTTTCAATTAAACTTTCATTTACCAACCTTTTTAAACAAAAAATTTTGGAAAATAATTATTTCAGAGTATTAATCATAAATTGATTTTAATTTTTGTTGCTATCAAACTTTGAAGAAGACTCATAAATTACTAAAACATTTCCTCATTTTCAAAAAATATATTTTTATTGTAAATTTTAATCAAGTATTCAAAAAGCCCATAAAAAAATCTCGTAATTTAACGCCCTTAACGTTGACCATATCATTCTGTTTTCTTTGACCGGACCGCAATCGTTCAATTTTCCGGTCGATGTTCCGGATGATGTTTTAAATTGAAAAGAAGCTTCACGTGCGACCGCGAAAAGCGCGCAATTTCAACGGTTAGCTTTTGCATTTCGCAAGAGGTCACGAAAGAAGAAGACGAAGAAGTAGCGACAGCATCGCGGCGTTTTCGTTTTTCTGTATTGGCGAGTTGCGCTCGGTCGCAAAACCGGATCAGACTTAGAAAACAGTCTTAGTAAGAACAAATACAATTTTGTTAGTAAGTAGTTATTAAAGGATTGTGTGTGTGCGGGGATTAAGAATAAACTTTCGATGGAAAATGTTAAAAATGACGCACTGTTAAAAGCACTTTACTTTTTTAAAGTTTTGCTTTGGTCCGAGCAGTCAGTCTCTTGCGGTACTGGCACTTTCAATGTATTTAGGTCAGATTTCTCTCCGGCAACACTCGTTCGCCCGCCACGAAATGTATTTATCTTTTATGTAACCAATTTCTCTTATATCGCGAGTTCTTCTTTTACTATTGTTGTATCGGTTACCAGCTTCACCCAGAATTGGAATCACTCAACACTATGTTTAAAAGTTTTAAGAAACACCATGTTTTTAAAATCACAACGTTTTAACGTACAGGTGAAAGGATTAAATGTTGATATACATGGTGAAAGGAACTTGGATTTTTGATTTCGTTAGTATTTCAGCTTTGAATTTCATTTTTGATTTAGAACTTACCAGTCGCCATGGCCAGATGTCGCCAGGGCAAATCTCGCCCTATGACTCCACTTTGGTGATGAACTTTTTCTATTTTAATACTAAGTGTTACTAAAATTGCGCACTTGCTACTCACTCAATGTCTTGTGTCAGACTGACTTCTCTTAAGGTTCTAGCGTTGTCTTGCTATCCAACCGACCGTGAGGCAAGCGTCGCTATTGGCCAAGATGCCGGTGTGTGAGAGCAGGAGTCACTCACTTTACCGTCGTGGTAGCAGTGGTGGACTCTAGGTACTATTAAGCTTGCGACGCTAGGTCCTAGATATTCTGCAACCCGCTTTAATAGATCAAAGCGTAAAAGGCGTTGGATAAAAACTGTTAAAAAAACGCCGATTTCTACTTAATGAACCATCTTCAACCTCACAGAGTGTTATCAAAATGATACACATTATTATTTAATGTGAGTTATTACATTTTTAAAGCAAACCCAAAATGTGATTACAAAATATTTTTAATTTTATCGATATTTTTAATAATACCTTAATAACTGTAAGTGTTCGTGATCTGAATAAATAATACACCACAAATAAATTGTGCGAAAGCGAATATAAAAAAATTATTTTTAAAACTTGTCTAACCGTAAAAATCGTTTGCGGTATAGTTGATAGCTAATAGTTGGTTGACGCAATGTTTATTTTTAACACCATGATGATGATACTTTTCGATTCCACTTAGGTATAAATTATTTGTTGCTTTTTTTACATTTCATTAACGTTAGAATCAAAACATTTAAGAGTATCCGTTTCCTTTTTAGGAATATTGTTTTTGTTTCTCATCCACTTTTATTTTATATTTACTTTTCATTAGATGATGTTGAAATAAAAATCTATAAAGATTATATTTAATCTTGACTCAAACACCATATATGGGTTGTGTTTTATTATCCGAAACTAATGAATTACGGAGGGAAAGGGCTCTATTCCCATGACACAATTAATTATTGTTGCTAATTGGTTTTAATGTTAAAGGTGCCCATTAAGGCGCTAATTGTAAATAAAAAAACAAAAACTGGATTCTCTCGACTCTCACCTGAATTATGAAGGAAAAACATGCCTAGGTCTTAAATAAAGTTCTCCTGATGGCGTATTAAGAACAACAAGGTCCGCAGAATGAATTTAATTACCCGACATATACACTGAACACAGAAATGATCCACTTGCGCAATTTATTTCCACGGATAAATTAAAATTTAAAATTAAATTTCTTGGTATATGTTCTACAAACTTATTTTTTATTATTTGTAACTAACCGAACATTAAACATTTAGCTATTAACTTCTACAATAACTATTCTGGACTAATAAACAAAGTGCGGTTATGAAATGGATAGTCTTTCTAGAAGGAGAGAAAAAAAAATTAAAATGTTTAAATATGGAAACAAACCAAAAAATATTGTGAAGAAAAGAATTGAAAATAAAAATGTGTAACAACGTGATGGGAGGTATACCGCGAACCAGAAGGTGCGAAACTAAAATTAATACATTACTTTAATTTTCTCCAACATCTGGAGATTTAATTTTTAAGAAGAAGAAAAAAAGAATGAAACTTTAAATAAAATTAGGATGAAAATTGAAAAGTGATATTGAGGAATTATTAATTAGCACTTTTAACATTTATTTTTAAAGCCCTTTCTGTTGATTTTCATAACGTTTGGTACACAGATTCAATTTTTACCTCCACACTTCTCTATCTCTTGCTTATCTCTACCAAAATCGGCATTAACATCAATCATTTCACCACATCCTTTTTGTAATTTGCTTTGGGTCTGACTCTGCATATCTTTTTGTTTACTAGCTTTCTTCTTTCATTTTCGAAACATGACCAGCTCGTTGTAGTCTTTAGATACTGATGGTATAAATTATAAATAGATTCATTAAGGTGGTGGTATGCTCATGAGATAAAAATCATGTTTCACAGCCATAGATGGGTCTTATAATTTTACTTTTACTTTATTGTTTTACTTACACTAATTTGAATGTTGCGATGAATTGTTTTTGGCTAAAAAAACAAAAAACGCAAAATATGTTTTGTTAACTAACATACTTCTCCTTCGAATTTCTCCATCTTATCTGCCAAGACTTTTTAAATCTACACCCAAATAATTAAATTGTTTTACAAATTCTATTTAGGACGAAATCGAAGTACTCTTGTTAGCCATGGTTTTGGTTCTGCTTTGAAGAATGACTTTGTTCTGTCCGCACTTCAGCAGCTTCTTTCATTGTTTTGTATGTTTCCATTGTATCTTTCATTACTTTTTGGATCCTTTCTATTTCCATTTTCTTTATTACAAATTCAAAACGAGGTTATCTAGTGTTAACTGTAACCTGCTTCAGCCTTTGTGGCATGACAAATGTTTCTATTAACAGATTTTGTACACAAAAATATGCCACTGTGCTTGGTAGAGTGGTTTTTAATAATCTTTTTCTCAATCAATCTCTAAGTTTCTTTCTATCGACAAAGTCATCTGCTGATAAAATCTATAAACCGACAATGCCAAGCCAAAATTTTTCAGGAAACACACAAAACTTTTATCACGTCGTATTTAAGTAGGCATTTGCGAAAACTTTAAACCAATATTGTAGCGATTACAGTTTGCTTGCGATTATCGCTTTAACTGTTGGATGCAAATTTAGCAATTTTGTTCGATAGTGTAGCTAATTAAAAAGTAATCACTTTGAATTTTATGCCGTTGTGGCCTGACAGCGCCGAAATATGTTATACTCATGGTCATCATATACCCATGCGGTTCCCGTTTAATATTCACCTGTACTGTTTTCTGCATATAGATGGAGTCGTTGGTTTATATTACTCTGTATATTATTTTGTTGATCCATGATTTTATTTTGCTTTTTTCCACTCCCAAGAATTCTTTGGCAATAAAGAAAAAAGCTTTATTAATTTGATTTAATTCTTATTAATAGTGATTTAATTCTGTTAGAAGTAGTTTGCAGGATTTTACCTACTTCTTTTGTCCACCTTGCTGTAATTTCTTCTTATTTACGTTACCATGCTCAGTTTTCTTTTTTTTTACTATCATGTGTTGGTCGTTTCCTACTTTCAAGCAAACGCGATAGATTATAATGGAGAAGTATTAATAGAGATTGGAAGATTCTATCCCAGTAGCAATGATGACTAGGTTCTATTTTGGAATATCAAGAGCATGACGAAATGTTGTGGGGTATGTATACTAAATATTGGTTGAGAAGATTACTGAAAGAAGATACTAAATGGGAATTGATGGTTGTGGAGATCATTGTTATAAACACGCAGCAACGATGGCAAAACGATTTGCGATTATGATCACCAATCACGTCTGCATTGGGTGACAATGCTAATAAAGTGCACCGAAACACAGAAAGTAATTTCATTTCTTGAGGAGGATATCTCCTATCTTCTCTGACCATGGATCCCAGTTTATCAGTATTGACTAGAACACAATCTGGCTACGCAACCAGGTTACTCATTATTAACAGACAAACCCAACGGTGTGGCGAATCCAAGAACTGAGAAAATATTTCAGTCATCAGTTCCAGGGGTGGAACTCAAATCTTGTCAGAAAGTTTCTCCTTTCTGAGCAAGCTTGCAAAAAGCTATCTGATAGCTCCAACTCTAAAAAGCTCATCAAACCCTACTCCTGGGTTACAAGTTACGACTTTGATAATTCATTTCTTGTCAGCAGATGACACCGTAAGTCATCATTCAGACTGCGAACCCGGGAATATACAGAATTAATAGACAAGGTGGTGGACTGGGGAATTTTATTTAACTCCTCCACCATGACAATTACACCGCCGCTATCGCTAAACTTATTTGTATCGGCGCAATTTCACCAACGTGAAAAGTTCAAAAAAATTTAAAGCCAACGCTTTAAATTGTGTCTTCGAGAGAGTGAACCACACCGGATGCTACTTCGAATACTTCTTGAAACAAATTGTGATAGAAATTGTTTTACTAAAACAAAGAGAATAACAGTGGAAAGTATGTATAAAAGTATCCATCACCTTCTCTAGGAGCCAAAAGGTAATAAAAATCAATATGTAGTAAACATGTTGATTATATGTATAATATTTATTAATACTCTCTGCATATTTAATACATACTTTTATCGTATCTCATGTTCAGAAACATAGAGTTCCTCAAATTTGTATTGGAATTCTGGGAAATGGTGCTTTAATAATAAAGTATCCAGCATTCTTCGTCATAAGAACTATAAATCTGTAATATATCAAATGAACAATACTAAAGTGGTTAAGACAAAAAACTCAAGTATGCCATATTGAAATTCGGAAGAACTTATGATTAACTTCATCCATATCTTATATCATGGTGTGCCAAAACCATTTCATCACAAAAATTGGATTAAATTGAGGTATCTTGGGTTTGTTATGATCTTATAGCAGAGTTCGGGAATACTTCAAAGACAAATCAGTCTGATGCCACTCTTGTGTTACGGGTGGTTACTTACGTGGTTGAGTTAGAGTTGCTACTATAAGTTCTGGAAATTTTTTTAAATGTCATGTTTGTTGTCTACCTGCACCACATAAAAATGCGGAATGTGTGAGACATAATGAATTATTTGTGAATGATTAATTATGCATGAAAAAAAAATGTTATTTTATATAGAAATCAATAATTGTTACATCTTCATTATTTTAAAGTAATGGTTATTCACGTTTCACAAATGTATGTTATAGTAAATGGCAGCGCATTAATACAAAAACAATTTCTTATGAATGTCATGTCCTCCTTACTACAAGGTGCTTGTTTTATACGGATTATATTTAATTGCGTTTTTAATTACGTTCGTGTATTGTGACAAGTATTAAAAGATAAATCAAATATTGATTTTTTTTTAATATCTTCTTTCAACAATTTATGTTTGAATCCTTGTGTCAATAGTAAAAACGTCACGACTATGAAGAAACAATACCTCTTAAGAAACTACTCTAAGAAATACTATTAAATATTTTTATAATGCCAGAGTATTATTATTATAGCGTTTTATATCAAGGAGGGGTTAACTTTTTTTTTACTAGATTGTGTATCTAATCTAACAATAATTATGTTTCTCTAATGGATATAAGATAATTCTATAAAAATCGCATGCT